CTGAAAATTCTACCGTATACAACCTCAAGCTTTCATTCAAACGCCTCTTTTAGACGTAACCACGCGAGACCCCCTTTTGTGGTAAATACCCCACGAAGCGAAGGTTCCTTCCATGACATCGGCTACACAATCCCGTGAACCGTGACGCCCCGTTCTCGCTCGAAAAACGAGCAAAATCTAGCCTTGCTCGATCTTCCACCCCACGGGGGTATTATTTACGCGACTCCGTCCTTCCTCCATTCTTCTTCCACGGCCGAACGATATGATTCATTCAGTGACCCGAAGACGACGTGGCAGGTTCGAGGACCTCGAACAGCCGTCGAAGGGCCCGCAACACGACTCGTTAATCCGTGAACAATGAAAGATTTCGTTGCCATCGCTGTCGTGCCCCGAGTCGAGTGCCACTCGGTACCTCTTTTCACTTTCGACATTGCCGCAGGGATCAATGCGACCCTACCGAAGGGTTACATGTCCTTTAGTCCGAACGGTGATCGTTTTGAAACCGTGAAATCAATTCTACAGTTGCTTCTTCGCATCCCAGTTTTCTTTTATGGAGTCCTCGTGTCGCGTTTCTAGAGGTATTAATCACTTGACATTGTATTATTATAATCCTGTCGTTTCTCGTAGTGTGGAATTCCAGGTTGGTTTTATTCGATTATGTTCCACGAATAAAAATTATCAACGATAATCATTAAGTGGACTTGAAGTTTGCGTGACCACTTTGTTATTGAAGAAGCATTGCTTACACACGATCATTATAGAATAAAGTGTTTTATGGTTTAGTTATAGCGGCCTGTCGGCCTAAATTCCTTTAAAGTTGGAATTTCCTATGTGCTTCAGGCGCGTGCGTTTACATCTGAAGCAGACGGTGGTCAGACGTTACACGACGAAGACAATGGAATGATATTAACGTTTAGAGAACGGGCAGGTTTTTCATGACTTTTTATATTTTTGAGTTAGAACTGTAATACTATAAGACATTAGAATACCAAAAATATAATTCTTTGCTCACATTAAAAAGGAACCGTAAGTTGTGATAACATTGCCCCACAGTAAAGAAATGGTCATTTTCGAATTCGTAGCTTTTTTGCAAGTATTTTTACGTGAAATACCTTTTGAAAATCAACTTAATCGAGCAATTTACACAGCTGCAAAATCGAAAATGATAATTTACTGTAAATTGGGATAAAGGTACCCCAACTTACGGTACTAATTTTATATTTCACTTCTTCCCTCTAATATTATTGATTTTTATACGTTCTCATATTGCTCTTTTAACAAATTTAATACTATAATAGTCCAAACTGGCATTCTAAAAACGAGAAGCTTTCTTCACAGTACTTTTGTGTCCATGCATAAAAAAATATGTAACTCACGTTGAAAAAACAGTGGACAGAATTTTCATATGACATAGAAATACGTTTGAAAGCAAATAAGAGGACAACAGGAACATACGAACGTTTCACTTCGGCAGATTCTCCGTTATCACGCGATTAATCGAGAGAGGATCGAATGCTAACCGACGTGACACCCTTTTTCCTTTGTAAAAGTAGCGGCGACCGGCTCTTAATATATTTGCAGTGTCACGAGGAGACGTGCATTCCGCGCATTTCGTGCGAGTCGTTGGCTCATTTTAAATTTAACTTCTGTTTGCGCTACTGATTGGCATGACGAGACGCCCGGATCGGAGAGTCGGTCCGTCGGTCGCCCACGCGATCATGGACAGCGAAATAAATTAATTTGTTTCTACCTAAAATGGTCACGGTGATGGACCACCTTTTTTTATCCTTCCCTTGCATGGCCAGCATTGTGGAACGCGTTACACAATTACTAGGCGGATACAAATGGTTATCAAAAGCCCGGGAAGGGAACCGTCGTTTATTTCGGCGACAGAGAAACGCGTGACGTCTTTAATAATCGTATGTCACGTTTCGCTTGAAACTTAACATCCAAGATTTCTTTTTCTTCGGTGAACAACCTGAACGTTCTTTGTTGACTCTGACGATTTCTCTGCTTGAAAATAATTTTTCAGAAGTAGCAAACAATTCGATTATTTAAAACGAAAGAAAATTAAATTTTAGCTGATATTTCATTCATTAAGTACTCAGTACATTTATTAAATTAACTGGAATATTTATTGATGTATGTATAATGATTTTTATAATTATTTTAATTACAATGTTACTGGTTAATTTATTCTAATTTATTCAAATATGTAATGAAAACAAAAGTTTATGTACAAGTGAAAGGTAAAGATAAGAAGATAATATTTGATTTATTAGGTAGATATGCAATTATACATTTTTCATAATAGACCTCTGACCCATCTGTAATTATTTTTTGTGTATCCGTATTATTCATACGCAAAGCTCGTAATAATATGGATTGAATAATTTAAAAGAAAACGATGACCAGTCATTTATTATAACATGAAAGAAACGCAACCATGGTACAGCACTAATTTTTCCTGACTAGCGAGACGTAAGAAACAATCACGAATTGGCGAGCTGACTACTCATAAAATTAATATGCGTAATGAACGTTAACGAGGATCATAAATATGGCTGCCATGGTTTGCTTATCCGTTAATTAGCATAATCATCCCTGATACCCATTGACCATCGTTTAAAAATGTCTCGACGTATATACCTTGGTTGTGCGCCAATGTGTATGTCGTGCCAAATTTTCGATACCACAATGCAAAACGAATCTAATTATTAATGAAAAATAAACTTCCAGAATATGAATAGACAATTCATTTACAATTTTAGCATTTAGATTGAAGTGAAATTTCTATAAATCAGTTAACAGTTCCATAGGTTATACAGGTATATCACAGAGAAATGTAAAATCTTTCTTAAATAAATCAATTCTTCATTACATGTACATATTTAAAATTCTTCCCCAAACTGATTCAATTGTAAGTGGATCCTTATAAAATGAATATTAGGAATCTACTATTGAAAATATTTTTTCCCGATACTGGCAACGCTGTAGAAATGAAATTCGTTTAGAAAAATTTATTCAATGTATTGTATAAAACAATATTTGTTCGTTAATTCCACGATAATACATTTCTGCTTGCGGTTTCATAGTTAATCTTACGATAAAAAGTAATTGTATTAAATAACAATTATTAAATTATTAGTACTTATACAAGGTATCTATACTTTTATCTGTATAATTCGTATAATTATTAATAAGAAAATCTTAAACGTCGTAATAAGAGGTTCCTTTAACCAGAATTTTTAATTAATTAAATCTTATGAAAAATTCATCTCCTTCAGGCGATTCTGTGCAGCGCGATTATTCGTCGAAGATATCTCTTTAGGGGAAGGATTAGCAATCAGTATCCAATTAGAGATCGAGTCTTCGACCCAACTGTATCTCCCTTAATTACACTCGAAGATTTCGTCTATCTTAACGTATCCATTATTTCCCATCCGAAAGCTGTATTTAATTGTCGTACTAACATTGTAATTACTGTGTATATATAGCGTGGCGATTATTCTGCGTGAGTATTATTAATTGAACTGATAAAACTGTATTATGAAAATAATTTTATTCAGTGATTAAAATTATTATTTCGGCAAACCACTTAGAATAACATCATTGTAACTTAATTCGATGTACAAGTGTACAGTGGATAAAAAAATATATTGAATCGATTTTTTTTTAACAGTAGTCATTTAATCTATATGCATTATGGGATTAATAGTAGTCGCAATCGTTCATTAACTAAAAATTTAATTAAAACAGTTAAATAAAGTCGATACTGTCCAATAAAATTCTTAATCTTAATCAGATTCTTACGGCATACGAGGGACATATTTTGTAAATTCACCTATGATTTGTGCAGTTTTATAAAGTAAAAGGATACATATATCCAGATCAATTTTATGATTAATTTTTAATTTAAGATGACTAATTGATTTATGACTAATTACTTCGAGGAGAATAATTTAAGTCTCCTCGAATTTCATAAATAAATTGTTAATTTATATAATTATTGTACCACTTGCGAATTAATAAAGTAGGTATCATAGAATGCAAATTTACTTTTTGGATCCAGTGTAATTGAATGAACGAAAGGAAAAATAAGCACAAGCCAGTCGCGGCGATCGTTAACTAAGCTTATTAAAAAGTAGAAGGGCACAATTAACGGAAAAGTTGCCCGAGAACGCGGCTCGGGTGTCTCGAAACGCGCGCGCGCGGTTCCTACCAGCGACCCTCTAGAAAAAAGGCCTCGGCGGCGCTCGTTAAAACGTTTTTCGCGAACACTGTTCGCAATTTACCGGTTAACCGCTTCGAGTATACCTGTTCCGTTGCACGTGAAATTCTGAGAAAGGAGCCAGAAAGCACTTGTTCCCTGTCTCTATCGCCCCCCCCCCCCAAGTCCCATCGTCTGTCTCCGTTCCTCGAGTTTTGCTTAATCGATCGCCACCAGCCTCTCTTTTCCCTGATTTTCGTTTCCGTTTCTTCCCTGACCCCCTTTCACGGTCCCTTTTCGCTCCGCCGCCGGTGGCCCCGGAGGGACATAAATTGGAAGCAAAGTGGGCACAATGCGTGAAACGAGACTAACGAGCGGGAAAAAGGGGACGTTACGATTTTTCGAAAAGGGACTACGGCCACTCTGATCCTACCGACCTATGCGGTTACTGGGACCTTTAATGGCGACATAGTGTAAGGTGAATTTTAAAAAAATTTTCGTAACTTTATAATAACTTATTAGAAACGTTTAAGTAATGAGTACTAATATCAAATTGACTACAATCTGTTGTCAACGTCCACGTGCATATATTATTGTTTGTATACAAAATGGGTATTGCTCCTCTTAAATATTTATATAAATAAATAACTTTAAGTGGTTTTAAAATGTAGTCATTCAAAATAATGTGCTTTACCGTTCTATAATTAAGGATATCTTCAATGTATTTGTTATATGTAAATATGTGCACTCCTTGTATTCACTAAATGTTTAAAAAAATTTCATGTCCTACCTGCTTAAGATCCAAGACGATGGTTATGTATTCGTAACGATCTCCATTGGCCAAGGTTGGGCTTTGCCACCATTTCGCAGGATTCGAGTCCAAGATGTTACTAATGTTATGCCTCTTGCCTGGATCCGGGCTCCTTGCATCGCAAACCGCACACCTTGATGACTCCGAGGGTTTGCAAAATGTCTCCGGCCCTTCTTCGCCGCAGGTTGCGTTCACAGAAACGTCTGCCTTTGCGGCGACGTTGAACGTCGATGGAAAGAGGCCACTGTTTTTTAAACTTTTGCTTACGCCGTACAGCCCAGATGGACCTGAAATTAAAATAAATTGTTATTATACAAGGAAATCATATGGATTTACACAATAGACACTTCAATAAAATAGACGCATTTATAATTAAACTACGAATTTTTATACAGATTCATGTTTTTGTAGATTGACTCACAAAGATAGAATGGAAATAAAAATTTACTTCCTTTATTAAGAATTTTATTATGTTCAAAATAAGGTGAAAGATTTTTCTGAGTAGCATTCTGCATACTCACGTTTAGAAATGCATGGGGTTAATAATTAAATTATCATTTACTTAATAAAGTGCTTCATGACTATGTTGAGAGTTGAAATTGTCATGAAACTATGTATTCTAATCTTGCGATCAAATAATATCGATAAATAATTAGTAATTAGACTTTAAGTAGAGAGTACATTTTAAGTAGGATCTTAATTACTGAAGATAGTACAACTGTTTGCCTTTTTTAATACTCAGGCAGTGGAAGCATAATACGTATAAGTTCCACCATGTTGCGAGTCTCGCTTATGAGTACTGGAATCTATTGTTGTCAGATAAACCGAAATATTTGATAACAGTCGTTCTTGTCATGAAGAGACTGCGGATGTTTATGCATTTACAGCGTTTCGTAACTTGAAAAATACAACGAATTAAAGGTTTTCATGAACTTTAATACTATTTACATATTATTGACGTAATAAAATATCTTATACATAATTCAAAATTTTGTGCCACTTTAATCTTTACATATTAGTACTAATACTCGGAAATTGTTAATTTGTACTTGCAGTCTACACCCGTACAATTTATTTATTTCATAATTTAATTTTATAATCCTTATTTATTTTCATTTCACGTTTAATAGTAAACTATCCAGAGACTTATGCACGTGAATGTATGTTGGTTTAGTATTCGCTCGAACTATCGAAGAAGATTCTAGCTCTCGGTCAGTAACCAAGAAGACTCTAGCTCTCCGCCAGTAATCAAGAAGACAAAAATCCACGGGCGATATTACAGGCGTGATCGAAATGGAAATTCACGCGGCTGCGAACGGGTGGCGATTTATTTTGTAATTTCCTCGAGATACACACATCGACAGGTTTTGACAGAGCTCAGCACGAAACCAGTCGTCCACGAGGGAACAGGTTGCCTGAGATGCAGCGTTGCAACGCGGCTATTGTACGGCACGTACGCGCGAACAGGTTCACTGGTATCCCGGCCACCCTCGACACTTGAACAGGTTAAACGCGCGTAATCGACACGTGAGGCTGCATTGCATCCAAGAAACGTGACGTGCTATCGACAGGACTTCTGCCTTGGACACCGGTGTTCATTTGATTTCTATACGTTTCTCCTTCGACTATGCATACTGATCATTCGACATTGTGTATTTCAATAATTCAAGTCTTTATGTAAATGTATAATAACATTCTAATAAAGGATATTTCTTTTTGCTCTGTAGGGTAAATGCATCGATGAATGAACCCTAGGGTGGCCCTTATTTATAAGCCCCGAAACTTTCTTTTCGTATTCCTTTTCTCTCACCCCCTGGATTGGTTTCATTTCATAAGAAAGTAATCCCTGAAAAAGTTTATTGTAATCAGACAATAGGAACTCACGACCAAGCCTTGAAGTTTTGTAATTGTCCATGTTTTAGGAGTTTTTAACGATTTTCTCAAAAATGATAAATCCTATCGACGTTTATTAAATCTTCTATAATTTCTCTGTATAAAACTTTTTTTCGTATTCCCATCCATGTTTAAGGTAATGGCTTAGTTTCCATGAGAAAGTTTGGATTTGGGCCCTAGTAACCAATACAATTTTTCTCAATTGGATTTCAAATTGATTCGAGATATAATACCGTTTTAATATATTCGCTATATTTATATAATCTACCGAGTTTAAGTTCCCTTCACACTAGAACCACTGAACCCGTCAAAATAACCAATTGCCGATTTCTTATTTTACCACTACTGAAATTTAATGCTGTTTTTGGTGGACTTTGCGGTGATTGTGAATTTCCTGTAGATGTTATCTTATACTATATTATGTTAAATTGTATTCTAGATTATGTATCTTATTATATTTTAAAATTTCATTTAATATACCTAACACTTAATATCGGTAATTCTAGTGTTAATCGATGACGACTGTGAAAGCTACTCGAAAACAAGCTGTTTCTGTGCAGTAAATGTACAAAGAAACAGTCTAATGGGGATCATTATTCCCCAATGACACGTGTTTGATTTAATAGCTACACCTACGAGCCAAGCACGTTGCTTTTACAACTTCGGTATCCTCGAGTGTTCTATAACATGGGATACACGAGAGACCTAACGATTTTTGCAACCGTCGCCATACCCGGTTAATGATGCTGCCTCGAGTGAATTATGCAGTACGCAGAGCACTCGGTGTAATGTATATGGTATATCGGCACAATCGAATGGCAAGGTGTATTGAAGACTGAAACGAGTTGCTTTAGGATGCAAATGCGCGGTTTCAGAAGTTACCTGGTAAGAAATGTATGAAACTCGTGGCTGAATTTAACGTTGTTTCGCGATTATTCATGGCGTGCTGGATATATATGAAGTGTAAAACCGAAAGCGTTGCAGGGTTTATATCTCTGAAAGTGTGAAATAAAGAATACTCTTTGCATATTTGAAAAATTGAAAATACAACATGATTTATGGTTTACGCTTTCAAGAGAATATTAACACTTTCGGTTTTAGATATTATATATTCTTGTGAATATATACTGGTTAAGACTATTAAAGAGTCATATATTGTAGCTGCTTTGTCTGACAATGTGGCGTATAATTTTTGGAAAGTTTAATAAATTGACAGAAGATGTCAATTTAACCAAGCTATAGCATTACTTTCGTACCTTTCACGTTTGTAATGGTATCTATCAAATAACCATGTGCTTTCAAGATTTGAACTAAGGTTAATTGCGTTTCAAAGCGCCCGAAGACAATTATCGCCAAAAACCGCAGCAACATTTTAGCCAATACAATATATACCACGGGGAAAATGTTTCCGACCACTTCGGTATTTATAACTAGACTGCGGAAGTTTATGCAAATTCAATTTTATGTGGGTTAATTTATTGAACCCAAGTTTGTTTTGAGATTTGTTTCCTTTATCAATCGGTTTTGTTAAATCCAAAGAAAAGTGAAGTTGATGTTAATCTTGTCGAAAACTGTTACTGCATTGCATTTTGTTCATTTAACAAATATGTCAATCAATTAAAGTGAGGAGCCGGATTGCAACGAATTTATATTTGTAGTTAAATACCGATTTATTTTATTCAGAAAAATAATAAATTTTACTTTTGCATTTATTAAACATAATAATTGTAAAGATAGTGTGAATTGTTGTTAAAGACTTTATACTACATTTTCACACAATTTCCGCCTATACTTTTCCCCTAACGGAAATCCAGTTTCCTCGTGAGATACATTTTCACGTGTGACAGTAAATCGTGACTTTTACAGTCGTAACATTAAAAGGTGCGTACCATTCGTTGCATGTCCTCGTATCGTATCACCGTTGCGTATCATCGTATCGTATCACCATACAATACATTTTCACACGAAACGATGCAACTCTTGCCCCACCACATTGATACAGAACAGTGATACGATACAAAGATACGTAACAAGTGGACACGCCTCTAAATATTATAATCTTTATCGTCATGAAACCTAGATATCACGTTTTCGTGACATTGGTTTACATTGTCATACAAGTACAGTGTGACGACAAACAAAATCCATGACTGTCGCGTGAAAACGTACCTTAATTTCTTCTATCGTCAACGAGGTTTTTACCGGTGGTGAACAGTTACTCTGATTCACCGGGCGAACAGGCCACGCTCGGTGGATCTCGGTCGAAGCCACTTAATTTCTCGGTCTCACCGCTTCTTTTCCCGTGTCAACGAGAGTCACGCCTACGTTCAACGCTTCCCACTTGCGTCCCGATCTTATCGCGAAGCTTCGAGCACACCCGAGAGGATGATTCCCCTTCCTTCGTGGAATTCTTAACGCCGTCGTTACCGCAAAAGAAGCTGCGCGCCGCGTATCGGGTTGGAATCGTTGAAGGAGAACGCAACCGCGATCCACGATAATCGATGAATGCCTCCGAGACAACGACGATCATACCAGCGAGCCGCCATCTTCGATCGCGCCGAGCTACCATCTTCGATCACCGGTTAAACATCGCTTACTTCGGACCACGTTATCGGGATATCTCGTTCTCCCTTCCAACGGTCGTTTATCGAAAATCTTGTATTGATAACAGTTATTGGGACTCGTGCTCCATACCCAAATCCTCTTGCTTTCGAGCAGTCTTCTGTGCGAAGAAGCTGACCTGGTGATTAGAGGATGTAGCAGGGGAAGAGACAATTTGTGAAGTTAATCAGGTTCACGTAAAGGGTTTCTGTTTTTTTTTTGTACAATGCAGTAAATTATCGATGGGTGTTCTAAGGTTCCTCGGCACTGACGAGGTGTTCTGGAAGAAATTGTTTATTTTGTTGAATATGCCATCTATTTGGGGATGCCCACACACCGAGAAACTATGAATGATGGTACTCCGTTTGAGCTGTCTATGGTACATTTAAAATTTAATGGATAAAATAAAGATATAATATAACGTTCTCGTAAAGTTCTTGTTTCAGATTAAAATTTATGGTTGTGAATGAAACGTCCGAATACTTCTGTCTAGCTAAGTACAGATAAAAATTATTTTACATTTTGCAATACGTAGGTAGCTCCGTGTAACATTTATGAAAGCCTGCATCGGAATAACAGTAAATATTCCGGAGTGCAGAACTTCAGTAACATCACCATAACAACAAATACAACGAAAACTATTATCTGAATTCATTTGTCCGGTACTGTATATTACCCAAAGTGTAATTTTGTACTTGTCATTGCTCTTCCAAAACAGCGATATGTTGCTATTTGTAAAAAATCAATTTTTCGATACGATTCAATACGATTATTATTGACAAGATACCAACTA